CCCTGGGATAATCACTGGTCTATACCGCATAAAAGATCTGTTTCTACATGGTTTCATGAATATGCTATAAATCTTCTAGTCATTGCAAGAAATTTCAATAGTTCAGTAATAAAATTTTATTTTTAGGCTAAAGAATATAGCTATAAATATAAAACTTCATCATTCTTCCATATAATAAACTAGAAAGTAGTAGGGTAGAAGACATTATTTCAGTGGAAAGTCTATTCTCTAATAAAATTATTTCTATTTTTCTCTATTGTAGGTAAATAATTATTCTACCTTCTTACATTCATAAATTTCAGACCTCACCATTATTTTAAATTGGACCAGACCACCTATATAGGAGGTTGGGTATAAGAGGTGGTTTTTATGAGGAACCTTTACGATTAAAAAGCAAAAACATATTTTGTAGAAAAAAGTAAAACCACACTAGGGAAAGCTATTTGGCCCTCACTTGTAAAAGAAATACTGGGCAAGGCATCCTGACTCTTGTCTGTTAGCTCAACATCTAGGCTGAGGCAGGAGGTTGGTTAGTTCAAGGGCAGGCTGGACTACACAGTAAGCCTCTCTCTCACTCCTCTCTCTCTCTCTCTCTCTCACACACACACACACACACATACACACACGCACAAATACTAATAGTTTGTGATTTGACTGAGTTCTCACTGCAGAGGTGTGTTTAACAATCATAAAACCAGAGTAGGACCTAAGAGTATGCAAAGTGGTAGCACCATTGGCTTCTCCAAAAAAATTCAATCAGTCCCTTTTAAATACTCCCCTCCCACCCTGTCCTTCATAACTAAGGCTACGTAAAAGTCTCATCAAGTCAGCTGAGGATGATGCTTGTTCTCTATCCACTTGTGTAAGAAAAGTACAAGAAACAGACCAGTTAGCAGAGGTATTCTGGGGGGGATGGGGGGAGAGCCAACTATTCTGGGTTCAAACTGTTGGAACCCATTCATAATATGTAGCAACACTTTCAAGAGCTACTTGCCAAGTGATGGGAGAAAATACAATATTTAAAAATCTAACATCTTATGGGTGATCCTGAGACTGAGAATAGATGATAGGAAACAGGAAAGCCACGGGTTCATAAATTCCATAAAAGGCTGCCAATGAGCCATTTCCCATCACAGCCAATTGGCTCTTTTTTTTTTTCTTTTGTTATAAGCACTGGGTGGGTTTAGCTGTTGGGAAAAGAGATGCTGGTTTCTCAACAATGGAAATTTTTGTACTACACTAGAGTGGATGACAAAGAAGTGGAAAGGATCAAAGGTGAATTCCTCTTACTGAAGCGTATTTTCGTCAGCTGAACCTCACCCTTCTGATTAGCAGAGCTCACAGATGATTGCTGGGAAGGATGAAGGAGCAGAAAGGGAAGGGAAGTTTTCATAGTTGTGTCAAAAGAAAATCCTGTAAAATATTTGCAAAAGGTTAACTGTAAAGAGATTGAACATTACCTGCTCTCCTACTGAGAGGAATAGAAGGGAAAACCAGGTATCTTGCTCTCCCCATAGCTACTCAGACACCTGTTTCATTTGATGCCATTTATTTACTTACTTACTTATTTTTAACCCATTTAGGGAAGAGATGGGTTGCCTGGTAAAGATATGGAAGCCTGAGAACACAAGCCACCTTTTCCAAGATAAACAGGATAGAAATCACCTCAGCTTGAACAAAGAATAACAATTGTGGTAAAGATGGTATTCAACTAGACAATATGACAGCATTTCTTGACTGAAATTTTTTAAGTCATCTGTGGAAAGACAACAGCAGGTACCAACACTTTTTTGAAGGTGATAATTCCAGCATGGGTATGCCACTTCCAAGTACTCTTTATTTCTAAGCTTTTGACTCAGCTATCTTAAAGAAGAAATGTGATTTAAAATGTTCTCTGAATGCATATATATATAAAAATATATATATACCTACATACATATATACATATATTCATACACACACACACACACACACACACACACATATATATATATTTCTTTAAGGACCTTCACTGATGCTTAAAAGCAGCTTAGATCCAGTTCAGCAAGCTACTTAAAGGATTAGATAGATAAGAATTCAAAATTTAAGAACAAGTAAGAATGATCTATTTGAAATTGAATTGAGAAGTAAACCATATATGTATCACTGATATGCTTCCATTCCAAATACCAATGTTTAAGGTTTTCTCCTCTGCCTCCTCTTCCTCTTCCTCCTCCTCTTCTACTCTCATCTCTCTCCACACACCCACATATGCTGAGGATTAAGCCTAGAGCCTTGTGCATGTGAGGCAATCACTCTACCATTTGAATTCCAGCCCTTTTAGTTTCATTTTGTCTTGTTTCTGACACAGGATCTTGCAGGTGCCTTTGCCAGGGCTGGGCCTCAAACTCAAAATACTCCTGCTCCCACCTTCCTAGGAGCTGGGCTGAGATTACAGTCATGGGCCACCATACTCAAAGGTTTCTTCTGTAAGGTGATTACATTTGGTTGTCTTATTTTAAAACAAAAGTCAGCGGCACAAGCTGGGCAACAGTGGCTCACATATATAATCCTAGCTCCTCAGGAGCTCAGATCTGCGGATCAGAGTTCAAAATGCCAGCCCAGGCAGGAAAATTCATGAGATTTTTACCTCCAATTAACCACAAAAAAGGATAGAAGTGGCTCAAGTGGTAGATTGCTAGCCTTGATCACAAATGCTCAGGGTTAGGGCCCACACGCTGAGTTCAAGCCCCAGGACCAGCACCAAAAAACAAAAACAAAATTATCATTTGTACAGAAAAGTATATGTTAGACAATCAATGTGAAGCAAGTCTGTATGCAGTAGACCTTTGGTTTCTTAGTGGCTAGCAAAAAAAAAAAATTCTAGTTTCTGCTAAGGAAGAATGATTTGGAAAGATGATTTTGTTTAGACTTGTGTATTCAGGCCTTCATCACTAGTTAATTCAATTTATTCTTTAGCACCAGCAATTTTCCCCAACCTACTTTTATCTTACAATCTTTGTATTTCTGGTTAGCTACTTTTCTTATCAGATAAACCATTTCCAACCTCCTTATTCTTTCTAAATTCTATTACTTTTTATATTCAGCTCAATCCCAATCAACTAAAGAGAGTTCAGAGCTGGCCACCAGTAGCCCATGCCTATAACTACTCAGGAGGCTTAGATCCAGAGTATCAAAGTTCAAGGCCAATCCAGGCAGAAAAATCCAAGAGACTCCATCTTCAAAATAACGCAAGAAAATCTGGAGGTGTATCTCAAGGGGCAGAGTGCCAGCCAGCCAGCACGAGGCCCTCAGTTCAAATGTCAGTACTGGCAAGCAAAAAGAACTCCTGATTTGCTCTGAATTTTTATATTAGTTATGTATTTATATGTCACAATTCACTTTTAATAAACACTAATATGTTCTGTAGTTGTTTCATGAATACTTATTATTTTCCCAAGCCTACATTGTTTTTTCTATTCTCCACAGTGCCTATCCTGCCTTGACCTGAAACCTTTAAATAATTCTCTCATTATGATTTCTTCTAATGAAATTATCATTATAAATCAATTTTATGCATTTATATAAGGCTCCTAGCCATGAAAATACAGTACCCTGCAGAACATCTATATTTTAAAACAATAATAGAATTCATATTTGGAAGTTGATGTACCTTCTGTTAGGCAAAGTGGTTTTCTATAACCATGAACTGAATAATCCCCATGTCTCTATCATTGATTGAAGATACAAATAAAAATTAGGTAGACAGAATATAATTACTAAAGCTGGAGAATAAGCTTTAAGAAATTTGGGAAACCATTCCCAGTTCCTGCTGAAGATCCCATGGCTCACCACAACTAGTCAGAATCTTCACTTCCATGTGCCATCTTAAAGTCCTTCTTCTAGCCTTGTACCTCCAGGACAATAAAGCCCCTCAAGCAGAAAGATTCACTGGGAAGTTTGGGGGGGGAGGTGAAGAGAGTTAACACTCTGAGGTTTCTAAACTATGATAGTTTTCTTGTTTTTTTCATTGGTTGGTTTTGACATACTCATGAGATCTACTGGAAATACGCAAAGGAAGTAGTACCACAATAGAGTCTAAAATAGCATCCTGTTTTTCTGTTTTCAGAAAACACTAACTAGCATTATGGAAGCATTCTTTAAAAATCCTTCTCTCAAGAATCTGACAGCTCTTCTTTGTGAATGTGGAAAATGAGATATAAGTATTATATATATATATATATATATATATATAATACATACTGATGAATTAAAACTAATTGCCTATTACTTAATTTTCTCCAAGATCATTTTTCTGAATGCCCCTAGATTAGATTACTTTGTATATAAGTATACCCCTTAGTATTTTAGCCAGATCTGCCTATGCACTAATCATGTATGTGAAGATAAAGGTGAATTCTGAATTTGACTTGTTGGTGTTATAACCCTCAGCTCCATGTTTCTTCCCCATCTGCAAACAGAAGCAATTGGACTTTACAGATACACTATGTCACAAGTCATAATGCATTGATAAATTTATATTTAAAAGTTATGTCATTAGGCTGTTCATATTAAAGAGTTCTTTTATTTATAAAAAATATGTTTTCCAAATGGGACACTAGAAAAGGTCTCCAGTAAGTTTCAGGATGAAAAAAGGCCTGAGTCTCTTTTTGTGCATCTGTTTTGAACTAACTCTCACTAATTCTGAACTTGTGAAGCTGGATAACAATTAGAAGGAAAAGAAATTAATATAAGTAGCCACCACTGTGTTGTTTCAAATTCACCTTCAACTTCTTTCTCATCAAATCGATGCCTAGTTTCTCAGTGATTTCCTTGCCTCCAAAACCCTTTACTTCCTGTCAAACAGCCGTACATTATAGATAGCATGGCCAAATTCACTGTGCGTCCGTTCTTACTTGTTAAATTCTAAGATGTTCACATGAGAGGATTGTCCTTAACATTAACTGCTTTGGCATTACTAGTTAAGACATCTGAAAACATAAAGCCTCATAGTTTCTTACTTCAGACCAGTCCAAGGCCACCCACTGAGGTGGACATGACTGGTTGTTGCAGGACTCTTTTTCCATAGGCCGGTGTGTCAAACAACCACTGTAGTCCAGCGTCTCCTCCTCAGAAGGACCGATCTTCCTGATGCAGAGCACTGCCCGTGTGCGCATCCCGCCATCACAGGTCTTGCTGCACTCCAACCAATCCCCAATGAACCACCTGAGCACGAAGCGGAAGAACACAGATAAGCATCTCTGCCGGGCATCCAGAGAGTTCTCAGTCAAGTGAAGGCACTTCTATGAAGGGTCTACATCCTTTTCCCAGAAAAGCTGACTGTTCCATGTTGGTTGATAAAAAACAATGCGGAATGGAGGAGCCATACGGGAGACTATTGGTTATTTATTTACTTGCCTTATGAAGCATAGCATTTGGGCTTTGGAGCAGGTAGGCCCCAGGTTCCAATAAGCAATGTACTACTTGCTGTCATCAATGAATATGTTCATCATGCTCTTGGATATCAGAGAAAAGAACACAAAATTCATGAGGCTGAATTCCTCGCTGTTGCCCATACCTAAGGTTCATAATGCGGTATTGTAATAAGGAAAGTAAAATCACAAGTGAGATCAGAAGAGCCTGCTGCCTTACATAGTAGTATCCGATTGAGCCTGGTATCCTAAATTTGAGCCTGGTATCCTAAATTTAGCTCCCTAAGCCATAACGGCCTTTGCATCATCATTTGTGTTGTTATCATTTGTTGAGGAAAATCAGCGTTTAGAAATAGGACAGTGAACTAATTTTTCAAACTTAGAACATATGTGTCAAAGTCTAGGTTTTTTCAAACTAAAATCCCGTTTTGGAATGCAAATTTAATCTTGAGTTTTAAACATTTAAACACTATCGTATTTTTTTTTCCTGTTAAGTCATTTTCTAAAGGAGATTCAAAATGCTTTCTTTTCTTTTTTTTTTCCTTTTCTGTTTTCCACAGATGAACACAATCCCAAGTGGTTAGTACCATTTTTGGTCAGGATAAAAATGTGTACTGAGAATAATGACTTGCATGCCAGCCATAGTGAAACTGTGATTCAATTTGCAACAGTGATTTCATCACCAAGATTAGGGGATAAAACAGAAATGTGTCTAACTCAGCCACAAAAAGCTCAGTCATACCACTTCCAGCCATGATCTCATTAGGTCTCATAATGGAAGAGGGACGGAGACCTTCAAATTAAACACAGGTGCAAGCTGAGGGTAGCAGCAGTGATTCAGGAGGTGCTGCTGTTCCTCAGGGCACAGGGTCAGGGCCACCTCTGCCCTTTAACTCTTTGTCCTTTCTTTTCATGTGAACCATCTCTCCTTCAACTTGGAATATAGGAAAAGAAAAGTATTCATCATTCTTTCAATTTCCTTTCTGACTTTAATTTCAGGAATTACATTCAGTCTCTGATGCTCTTTATTATTCCTCATAATGCCCCTTACCATGTCTCTGAATGGATAACACATATCCTGGTTATTTAAAACATTCTGCAATTTCACCACCGCTTTTGGTGCTCTTAGTTTCTCCATTTTCTTTTCTAGTTTAAATATGTCCTGATTCCTTCATCCTATGTACATGTTTGGTCCTCTCATGTCATTCTTTCTGTTTTTCTGCCTTCCTTTTCAGATTCAGTAATAGAAACCTGAACCCAGAAATCATCTTTGGAAATCTCAACTACTGAATCTTTGTAACCTAAGCAGTCCCAAAGCTTGTTCTTTCCAAGCTCTTCCCAAAATTTAACGATCCTCACCAAGTGTCTGTATGCCCATTAGATAGTAACAATATGGAGATTCATATTTGCAAGGTGGAAATCAGAGGAGTTTAGCGGGGCACTGTGGCTCACACTTTTATCCTTGGGGAGACTAGATCGGAAGGATCATGATTGGAGGCCAGACCAGGCAAAACAAAGTTCATGAGATTCTTCCTCATCCCACAGCTGGGCACAATGACACACACCTGTCATCAACAGCTGCATGGGAAGCTGAAACTGGGAGTATCTCAGTTTCAGGCCAGCCCAAGCAAAAAAGTCTTCGAGGCTCCATCTAAATGGGAGAAGCTGGGAATGATGGTAGGTGTCTGCTATCCCAACTATGGCAGAAAGTGAAAAGTTAGGAAGATCACCAGAGATGCATGTATTGGGGGTGGGGGAATCAAGACCCAATCTCAAAAACAAACAACAAAAACCAAAAGTATACAAAGAAATATGCCTGGAAGTGTGGCTCGGGGGTAGAGCATCTGCCTTCAAGCAGAGTACCTAAGTTTCAGGAAAGAGAGAGAAAGAGAGAGTGTCTTTCTGTACTCTATATAAGCCATCTCAGTCTCTAATTATACTAACAATAATATTGGGAGAATGAAATAAGAGAGATGCTATGGAAAATGTTGTTTCAAACTTGATAAACCAGAATATTTTTTATCAGAGAAGCCATACAACCAGATTATTAGTTTTGCTTTGATAAAGGAAAATGACACAGTGTATAAAAATAAACTTATTAAATATTGGATGGGGGATTGATTTCCCAGACTAGAATGAAACTGTGGCTCAAATGGTAGAGTACTAGCCTTGAGCAAAAAGTCAAAGGAGCAGAGTTCAGGCTCCAAGTACAAACCACAGTACTGGCACCAGAAAATTTAAAAACCTTAAGAATTTTCTAACATCTTTGAGAGATTCAATTATATAACCTATTGTCTATTAAAACTTTTGTAGGTGTTAATCTTATTAATTAATTAATTTATTATTGTAGTACCAGATATTGAATTCAGGATCCCACAGATATTAAGCCAATTCATGGAGCCATGTCCTCAGTCTAATTTTAAGATAATGTTTAGGCCAAGGATATGTCTCATTAGCAGAGTGCTTGTCTATGTGCATGAAGCCCTTGCTTTGATCTATAACTAAAAAAAGACAAAAATAAAATGTTGTAAAATATTTTTTAGTAATATTTTCATAGATCCTATGGTTTCCCTCATTTGTAGTAATTAGTATATGTCTAGGATAGTCTAGCAGAGGGGCAGAATAGCTCAATAACTATGTGCTTATGACCATATAAGATGATGCTAAGCGAAATGAACTCCAAGATACGGAAACAAGTTTTTCTTTGTTTTTTTTTTTTAATGTACTGTGTGATTTCTTTTTTCTTTTGTGTTTTTTCCCCCTGTGGTTTATCCCTTGTTGTCACTCTATTTGATTTTGGTACCCTGAGTATTGTCTATACATTACCTAAATTAGGGAAGGGAAGGAAAACAACAAAATGGTGAGACAGAGGACAAAGGGGAAACTAATGCAACAGCAATACTCTCAAGAAAATATATTGGAAATGAACTGTACAACTTGAAATGGGGTTTGGGGGAGAGGGAAAGTGGGAGCAAATGAGGGAGGGAGTAGCAAGTTCAACCAGAAATGTACTCACTACCTTACATATGTAACTGTAACCCTTCTGTACATCATCTTGACAATAAAATTTTAAAAAGCAAAAGCAAAAGAAAATGTGGTATGTATACACAATGGAATTCTATGCTTCTATCAGAAAGAATGACATTGCCCCATTCATAAGGAAATGGAAAGACTTGGGGGAAAAATCATATTAAGTGAAGGAAACCAACCCAAAGAAACACAGGCTGGCTGCTTGTTTTCCCTCATTTGTAATAATTAGTATTTGCCTAGGATAGTTCTAGCAGAGGATCACACTAGCTCAATAGCTATGTACATATCCCCTTATAAAATGAGGCTAAGTGAAATGAACTACAAGAAAAGGAAACAAGAGGTTTTGTTTTTTTGTTTTGTTTTTAGTGTTTTAGTGTACTATATGCAGTTATTTCCTTTTGTTTTTTTTTATTTTGGCACCCTTTGTATTGTATATAAGCTTACCTGATTTGGGGATGGGAAGGGGAATCACAGAAATGCTGAGAGAAAGGACAGGGGGTGAACCAATGAATGCAACAGCAATACTCACAAGACACCATGTTGGAAATGAACTTTACATCTTAGGGCAGGGGAGTGGGAAGAAATGAGGGAGGGGGTAGCAATATTCAACAAGAAATGTACTCATTTCCTTATTTATGGAACTGTAATCCCTTTGTACATCACCTTTACAATAAAAAAAATCTAGAAAAAAATTAGTATGAAAAAGAAGTTATTCCTCAGCTACTTGGAGAGTGAAACTAATATTAAGAGGATCTCTAACTTATCCTGTACTGTATGTTTTATTAAAAAAAATCAATACTATAAACTCTGAAATGGCAGCAATGAGAATGTGTCAATGAAGCAAGCAAAATTCGACATATGACAGCGCCACAAGGTACTTGGTTTGAAACTTACAATGTTCGCAATGTCTAGGAGAATGAGAAAAACATCACTGGAGATTAAATGCCCTCATCTGGGAAATTATGACCGTTGGCTGAGATGACGTCTATGATCCTTCCTAGGTCTTAAATTCTGGAGTTTTTATAGAGGACGCTGATGAATCCATTTTAAAACTTAACAAACTATAGTTGTCCGTGGGTGAGGTTCAATGATTTCAAAATAATTGTCAAATATTATATCATAAAAAATATCATTGAAGAAAACCTAGCCCCAATATAAATTTTTTCCCACCCTTAGCTTCTTTAACACTTTTGCTTATCATTCTCTTATTTTGCTTGTAATGGTTTGTCTGGTCATATAGTTATTTTTATATGCACTTGAAAATTGTTAGGAACCTGATGTACAGTGCTTTGTATTTTGCAGTTGATTAATTCATGTTTAAAACTTTTGTCCACAGTGTTATCATAATGTATAGCTTATTGTTTAATGTCTCCAGTTTTCACAAATATAAAAAAGCACAGCATCATATAGAAATATTTGTATTCAAGAATTCTTCACATGAGGTCATTTGTAGAAATAATCTTGTTATTCAAATGCATCAGGGAAAACCCAAACTCCTGGCCTTTCTTTTTGGTCTCCAACCTATTATTGCTTCCTTTCCTTAAGGAGGATCATAGCTTCCCATCAGTCATCTCTTTTTAAAAAAATTACTTTGCTTTGTCTCAGTATGTAGCTCAGGCTGGCCTCAAACTTACAATCTTACTGTTTCACTTTGAGTGCTGGGATTACAGTATGCACCCCAAACCTAGCTCTATCAGTCAAATACTGTAATATCAACTCCTCCCTTCCTTTTCCCAATTATTTAGGCTTATGTCATGAATTCCATTGTATTCACTCATGGTCAGCTTACAACCTGGACTACTATACTCTTTCTCATAAAAAGCTGATGCTATGAGCATATTAATTTTCCCCGGAAAGATTTCTGCTGATCCTTCAAAGTTTTCCAAATAACACTACTCTTGTTTTTCTATCAATGGTTCTTTTGTCTATTCTTCCAAGTCTCCTGTCATTTTCATTATACAATGCAATTATAAATCTTACTGTCTTCTATGTCTCTCTATTGTACTTAGAAATGCTTTCAATATAACTAAAGATACTTGAAATATTTGCATATTTGAAAAGATACTTTTTGATGAAAGTATCATTTGGGGTTTTTAATTAATGGTCTTGCAAAATAATGCTATGTGAAAATACAGATTCCTTCCTCAAATCAAAAGAACATTTGTCAGGTAGAATAAAGTTTATATTAAAGGAAGAAAGAAACCTTACAAAAGGTAAGACATTTCTAAATATCCTACCAATGAAAGAAATAGAAGTTTTGAAGTTTTCCCATATAATATTTTAAAAGAAAAAAAAACAGATGAACTGCCATAAATAATATGGAAGACATATAGAAACTAGAGAAAATATTTGTAAAACAAGTAAAAGTTACTTTAATACATCAAAAGTTCATTAAAAATAAGTAGCAAGGCCAAGTGCTAGTTACCCACACCTAGCATCTTATGTCTTAGCTACTCAGGAGTCAGAGATTAGATGGAGTTAAGTTCAGGCATAGCCTAGATAGGACGTTCCCAAGACTTCATCTCAACTACGTGTAATCTCCAGTGACATAAGGAAGCACAAGTTAGAGGACCACAAGCCAGGTTGTGATCAGAAGACTGCAGTTCCAGAGCAGTGCCCAACAATGTCCATGAGACCCCATCTTAAAAGAAAAAGCTGAGTGTGGTGGTACATGTCTATCATCCTATCTACAGTAAGAAGTATAAATACAATCACAGTCTAGGCTGGGTCATAGCAAAAAAGGTGACCTTATCTCAAAAAAATACAAAACCAAAACTAGCACAAAAGGGCTAGAGTCAAGGCTCAAGATGTAGAGTACTTGTCTAGCCTACATGAGACTCTGAGGTCAAATCCCAGTACTGCAAAAAAAAAAAAAACCTAAAAAGAAAAGTTAAATACAAAAGAAAATATACAAGTGGCCAGTGAACATAAGTTTATAATGTTCAGTCTCATTAACAATCAAAGAAATGAAAAATAGCAGAGCAGATATCTGATTTTTTCCCCTCATAAAATAGTCAAGGGGTATAAAAATAGTAATACTCAGTGTCCAGCCAGGCAATGGAACCCTTATGTCTTGTTAGTGGGAGTACACAATCATACAGTCTTTCTGAAGAGCAATATGACAATGTGTCTGAAAGGTTTGAACCAGAAATTCCATTCCAACTTATTTTTCATAAAGACATAATATGGACAGTTCAGTTTCAGGCAGATAATGGTTAGTGCTATGGTTATTACAGGAGATTCAAGGCCAGAATATAGCCTAAATTGGGCAACTGTGAAATACCAGTTTAAATAAACAATAACATATCTTCTAAACACTGTCATAGATACTTAATGTTCAAATTATTTGGAGATCTGACTACAAATAATCATATGTATAATAAATTCTGTTTGGTATATGTACTTGTACATATGTAGAAAAAGGACAAAAGATACATTTATTAATAGTAATCTTGTTTACCACACTGTCATTTGAAACAGAGCATGTCTTCTTTCTTTTACATTCATATAAATTCTTATTAAATCGCTGTATCTATTATTTTATCCCTAAAATTGCAATGTCTACTGGAACTCTTGTGGTTGTCATAGTATGAGTTGAAAAGAATAAATAAGAAATTAAAAAGGAACTAAACTATAGACTGATGATTTATATTTAAAATATGTACCTTTAAACGTTCCAAAAAAAGGAAAAACTGTCAGACTAAATTGTTCTCTTTCTTGCATATTCCCTTGATCTTTCCTTTTTGAATTTCCTTTTTACTTCCAAACTTAATTTCATTTAACAGGAAAGGAGATAGGGAACTTAATTTTAATCATGCATATTAACATTTTCTTCAACTGTTAAAATAAAAAAAAATCACTGGATGGGATACAGTGAGTAATGACTGAAATCTCTAAGGACACAGGACATTTAATCATGTAAGCGTGAACAAATAAAAAATATTAGGTCAAAATAAAACAGGGTAACCAGTTCTATTCAGATGTCTTAAATGGTTGGTAAAATACCAAGCAGGACATTTTATGATTTAAAGTCTTGAGTATTAACAAATAAACTTGGTACATTGCAACTTCACAATTGCACGAACAATATCCTAAGTTATTGGAAACATGAGAGGAGACAAAATTAGCTCATGGATTTTGAGCATCACTTTGTTTTGCATAACGAAAGCAATTTTAGGTAGTAAAAAACTTATTTTTAAATAAGTTTATAAAGATAATTGGCAGGAAAGAAGAAAATGCAAAAAATAACTGGTAGAACATATTATAAATTATAGTTCCATATTTTCCCATTTCTGAATTTTAAGGAGTTGAATGGTGATCACATTTTTAAAAAAGGATATACATAAAATTAAAAACCTTAAAGTAAAACCTTTTTATAATTCTAGTCTTGTGCTCCTTGCTTGGTAGCTACTATACTAAATCACTTCAAGAGACTAAGTAAAAATCTTGACTTTGGAAAAAATTGAAGTTCATAAGGCATTATGGTTTTGAAACAAATAAATAAAATGTCCCTGGCTTTACCCATATGGGGGGCTTTAAGACAAATGTGTGTGTGTGTGTGTGTGTGTGTGTGTGTGTAATATACATATACATGTATATATAACTTACTATAGATCCCAAGTTTTTGTAACTCTACTGTGGTCATTTTTGGAAAAAAGCATGACTTCATTATAAAGTATTCCTCTACAGTTCTAAAGGGCTTGGGACATATACCTTCATTTGTTTACTCTTTTTATCCTTCTTATCAATGTCATGATTGGATAATTAGCCAAAGGATTAATGGTTAATCTGATTTCCCAAACAATGAAATGCTATGAAGTTCAGCATCCATCATGATCAGAATTAGCAGCCTGGTCTTTCTTCATGTAATTATTGTCTTTGCTCAATCAAGAAACCTTTTTATTCTTCTAGATCACAGCACGTGTTGGACAGCAGGTCTCATTCTAAAGCCATCATTAAAATGACTGGCTTTCTCCCGGGTGCTTCCCTTTACAGTGAGGTATAACTGCTACGTCAGTTATAATTGCTGACAGCAATTACAGCTAGAATGAGTCTCAAGTATACATCGCTGTTCCTACACCCAACACTCAGGAGATGGGATACCTCAAATAATGGAACATAAAACTGGGTTAGCAAGTTAAAGCACTGATATTCCATTCTGGAGCTTTTCTAAATCATGTAAAAAATCTTTAGGACTTTAGATACATTTCTGGAAAAGTCAGGAGTGCAAGAAAATCATTCTCTTTTGGTAAAATTAGACATTATTTTATATATCATCAAGAAGGGAATGAGTGCTATAGTTGTAAGACAACATCTTTTGCAAAGTGAAAACTATTTATAGAAGTTAAAATGTGACATGTGTGCCTTAGGATTTTTTTTTTGATATGTGTAAGACAACACAAGTTCAGCAGGCCGAGGACCTGCAAGGAAGCACAGAGTTCCTTAGAAGTCTCAGTGCTAGAAGAGGCTGAGAAATTCAAATGCAGCTAGAGAAACAGGCTAGAGACATTCACCCAGGCTCCCAGCTTGAACTATAATCTTGTTTGATTCAGAGAATACAAAGATAACCACCCAAATTTTCACAAATGTGTTCACCTGTTCATTGTGAGCCCCTGTGAAAGGTCCTTGATTTGGGGGAGGAGAGCATTCAGGTGTTCCACTTTACTTGAAACCCTTTGGCAGATATGGCTTAGAATTGATGCCATAAAATCATTTCCAGAACTGTGGCAGGACCAAATTCTTTCAAGCAGTTAATAACTGAAACCAATGTGTACATATGTGCTAGGTAAAAAAGACATCAATATTCTATCTCCTATGTTGTTTCCTCTCTTTTTCATCCACATTAATTTGTATCACAGAATATGCTTCCGGGTGTGAATATATAATATTTCTTCGCTTTGTAACTGAAGAAAGTTAATTCTTCTTTCTCTCTGTTACTTACTCAGGTGGGCAGGGCTCCGTGTTGCAGTCTCTTTGATTTTCTGGTGGCTTACTGTCAGGATCACAATAGTTGTTCTGCACAATAGAGTTGTCATCTAGCCTTTTGCACACTACTTCCTGTCTTTGGACACCTAGAAGAAAGGAAAGCATCATTAGCTGTAGAGCAGTTTACTTTCTAAAAAGTTAGGTCTGCTAGCTTTCCACTGTGTGGAATGAACCTCACTGGATCGCTGCTGTCTGAGCTGTGCCAGAAACACTTGACTGCTTCTCTAAAAAGGAGAAAAGTCCTGGTCATTATATTGAAAAATTAGGAAAAAATGATTGTGTTTATATTTAGAAAAATAACATTCGTGCTTCCATTTGTATATTCTTCTTCTTCGTGCTTTCCCTAAAAACGAACTTCCCCAAATATCATGAGATAAATGTATGATTGTAATTTCAATGCAAAACAATGGCTACATATTAAAAATAAAACAAGAAACCAGGTGCTAGTGGCTCATGCCTGTAATCCTACCTACTCAGGAGGCTGAGATCTGAGGATTGCAGTTGAAGCCAGCCCAGGGAGGAAAGGCTGTAAGACTCTTATTTACCATTAACCACCAAAAAAAAAACAACTTGAAGTGGTTAGAGCATGAGCCTTGAGCATTGAAGCTCAGGGACAGCACCAAGGTCCTGAGTTCAAGCCTCAGGACTGACACAAAAATAAATAAATAAGAGGGACCAGTTTACTTTTTGACATTTTTTTGACAAGTCCCATCAATTTAGTCTTTGTTAGGAACACATCACATCTATATGTTTCATCTTTTCCTCCCATTTACATGCATATCTCTCTAAAAGCCCGTGGAGTTTGTGCTTTAAAGATTGGAGTGAGCCTCTTGTGGGCTGTAAGCAACTAATCTGTATTGTCTAAAAGAGTTGATTATATTGTATCAATGTCAAGGAGACACATACACAGTTTATTCAAATCTTAATTTATGAATTCTTACCTTGTTCTTAAAAAATTTAGTCCATATGACTTGTTGAACACAACTAAAATATTCTCATTACAGAATGTCTAAAATTCTAAACACGTGGGTCTTATTTATTGGCAAAGATATCAATCATATTTTGCTCGCATTTCACACAAGTCAGACATACAACATATACTCTTGCTTATAAACATCCTTGGTATACACTTTGCATATACTTCTTTTCTCTCTCATATCAAGGAATCAAAAGTAGAGACAGATATAGCTTGACTAAAGAGAAAAAACATCTAACAACCAGAAAGCATTTAATGTTTCAGATCACATAGATAGGTTACTTTTAGAAAAGCAAACAAAAGTACAACCTAATCTGTCCTTCTAATCATTAACCTCAACCTTATAAATAGGCAAGTTAAATTACTCAACAAGAATTGTAAAATTTACATGAACAGTACTCTGGAAACCACAGATTTGCACCTAGCTAAACTCACACACAAACAAAATCCTTCAGGTTTTTTCCTCTTTCTTTTCTTTCAGTTATTTTTAAGATATCATTTCCTCCAAAAAAAGAAAAAGATAAAACAGTTCACTTACAAAAATCAGAGAATCTGAGTGAAACAGTAACATTTGGTAAAGGAAAGAAACTGAAGAGCTAGGCACCAAGTGCTTTCCCCAATCTCCCTTAAAAGTCACGGCAATTATGGTAGAGTTGTCATGTGATGTGCACCCATAAGGCTTTTGAATTTAAAGGCTGACAATGAAAACTATTAACCACCAAGTATACGAGACAGAGAGCCTATAGCCTCCATGGTAGTTGTCAATTGTTGAAAATAGTCATTTTTTCAAGACTCTTCCTGGTCACCTTTTTAAGTTTTTACTAAATTTAGAAGTCTAAAATATAGCCAACAATTTCACTGGAAAAATATCTTAAAATTATATACTGTATTGAGTCCCTCCAAACCCCCTGAATGGGCTAAATGACTCAGTTCATACGATGACAAGAGTTTGGAATTTTTTTAACTATTAAACCTTAGATTTTTGAGGGAAGAATGAGTCACTTAAAGGCATGGCTACGATCCATGCACAGATGTTCCTGATACTCATCAGTTTACCTCCCCATTCTGTCATCCAGTGGGCAGATAACTGAATCCATGTGGTCCTCCCTGATAGATAGCTCTACCGTTAGTCACAGAATTCAGCTACCAACAGCAGCTACAGGAGTGGATCAGAGCCTCCACACACTCTGGTTCAATGTTTTGCTTGTACCAGAAAGAATAAGGGATTGTTTTTATAAGTTAGCAAGTTTATTTTTTTTAATCTTTCAAATATGTCTATACTTGAAACAAGAATGTTGGCATTCAGTTCACTTGTTGTTTCTCAGAAAAGGAAAAACATTTTCAGCATTTGAAAATGGAACTGTTGTTGCTTTGTTTCAATGACGGAAACATTAAGTCATCACCAGAGGTTAAGGTAAAATCTTACTTTTTTTTGGTGCCAGACCTCGGGTTTGAACACAGGGCCTAGGCACTGTTCTGAGTTTGTTTGTTTGTTTTTGGTTCATGTCTAGCATCCTATCACCTGAATCATAGCTCCACTTCTGGCTTTTGGCAGTCTGATGGACTTTGCTGCCCAGGCTGGCAGCACAATCCACAGAGCTCAGGCTCCTGAGAGCCACCAGCACGCCGGCTCATAACCTTACTTTTTAAAAAGCTGATTCTAGAAATGCTATAAGGATTATAATTACAATTATTAAATGTGTAATGCAAAAGCAGAACCTCTTCAACTTGAATCCTAGATGAGATGTTAATATACTTAGTAGAAATTTATATTTCATTTTAAGTTGAATTCTAGCCACGCATATCGCCAAAAAATTGTCCTAGATAAAATTTTGGAAAATATATAAAACCACAAGACACAAAATAAAAATGATCAATAGTTCCATATTTTTCCTCAAGACTTTTACATTTTTTCCTTTTTTATTTATTTTGTTTATCGTCAAGGTGATATACAGAGGGGTTACAGTTACCTAAGTAAGGTAATAAGTACATTTCTTGCCAAACTCGTTACCCCTTCCCTCATTTAAGAGTTATTTTGTTAGTGGAGAGATACAGGTTTAAAAAATTGCATACATACACAAACTAAACTACCAGCTGAATGGGGGTGGCAGGTCATTCATTCATTCAACAGATAATAGCTACTAAATAAAAGCATTATGTTTATTATAAGATACTGGACTATGTGGTACAAACAGACTTAAATTTGCCAATGCCTTCCAGATGTCTTAAAAAATAGAAATTGAGAATATTTCTGGGTTTATTCCAGAAATTATTTCAGACTATTTTTTATGAAATAAAAAATAAAGTCCTTGAAAGGACAGCTGAAAGTGTTCTACACTTTATGAAGATATTTTTCTTTGCATTCATCTTTTATTAATTTTCTTCTAAACTGTTATATTAGACAATGTGGTATTTCACACTCAAGAACTGTCTATACTAGTAATCTATTCCAAATCTTCTTACAACACTACTATTTTCCTCTAACAGTGCACAAATTTCCTTCTAACTTTTACCCTAAGACCTGGCAAGATCACAATTTCTTTTTTCTACTTTGCTTTTAAGTTAGTAACAACAAGATATCAATAAATGAATGTACCTACATGGATGGATTTTTTAAACACATACTTTTAAATCAAGGCAAATTGCAGCTTTGAACTTTATAAAGTAGAAAATACAGATCAACTGGAAATAATCTAAGTGAACAAGAAAAATGGAATTTAGAAATTTGATTAGTGTCTGTACATAGCTTCTTTTAAAGTAGTCTGTGAAACATTGCTAAGTTGATTTTAAACCCTGTTGGGAATAATTACATCCAGTTAAACAAAACCACTATGTTTTCAAATCAAAAGACTTATAGTTTATAAGCAAAACAACATAAAATGTCCACATGGTCAATCAGTATACATCTAATCAAAAACAAAATTCTAGTGGCTTAGTGTCCATATTCCCTGGAGATAGGCAGATGTTTTACTGAATTTAATTGGCCAAATTTTAAAATGCACTGCTTTATTTATAAACCTCTAAAGTTACTGGCATGCCAACTGTATATCTATTTTTCCTTGATGGAATTCTTTAATGTTTTATAAAAGTAATGATTTCATATTAAAAATGTTGTTAGAAACTTAACCTTTGTAAAAATTTATTTGTTTGTTTGTTTGTTTTTGTGTATGTCCTGGGGCTTGAATGCAGGGCCTAGGTGCTAACCCTGAAGTTTTTTTGCTCAAGGCTAGCACTCTACCACTTGAACCACAGAACTACTTTTGACTTTTTGGTGGTTAGTTTAAGATGAGTCTCAGAAACTTTCCTGCCCAACCTGTCTTTGGACCAAAGTCCTCAGATCTCAGTTTCCTGAGTAGTTAGGATTGGAGACAGGTGTAAGCCACTGGTGATTTAATGATTCTTAGCCCAGAAATTTTCCCCTTGGACTAGAGATATAGCTCAGTGGAAGTGTCCCCTAACAACTGCAAGACAGTAGGTTCAGTCCTCAGCACTGAGGAAAAACAAAAGCAAAAGAAAACAACAATTCTCACTTTTTCTGTGGGTGTATTTGGTCCTATATTTACTTTTCTTCTAATAGTTAAGATCTATTTTCCCACCAAATCTTTTTTTGTACAATGGAAGGATCCAGTTGAATCACTGATCTAGCAAGATATGATTTTTAATGGCATTTTGAAAGAGGAAAAAGAGCAAGAAATACAGAAATACAGAATTGAATGGATTCCTTCACTTATTGTTCTTATTGTAGGAGGTGGTGATGGATGGTTCCAGTGAGAAAACCGCACAGTCCTGAGGCCAATCCTGAATGAAGACTTCAGAGACCTTCATTTCTTGCCTCTTTTCTAGTATCTTTCATGCTCCCCTCATAAGTTGCCAATGTTTCCATGAGACCCTCTGACCCTGTTTCTTTCAGAGAAATACTTTTATAAACCCCACTTTTGACACACTATTCAGCAAAATATTGTTTTGCTCCGGACAATTCACCATTATATAACAGAAAGAAGAAAATGTTCAGGAATCACTGCTTGAAAAGGTGAGAGGTGTTAATGAAAGAAATATAAAGGGGTGGGAGTGGTTAATTAAGGGCAGGGAAACAGTTGAGTCTTGTTCATC